ACGGATGCTAGTGCAGACCGAATCGATACAACTTGTCTGACAGAACGGAATCATGACGACGTTGATAATAACCTGGATGTCACTGATGTAACAAATAAGTTACCGACGATTACGAATGCTGACCAAACCTCCTCTGTATCAGGAGATGAAGAGTTAGATATTGGTCCCATGTTATGTCACTTAAAGTCTTCGGCAGACGAGGAAATATCAAAATTGGAGATCCCACCCTTGCATATTATCTATGGGTCAAGAACTTCTGTTGATAAGTCAGCATCACGGACTTCATTGTATCTGCTGTCCGGAGCAAGTGGTGGTGGAATGACGACTCATCCCCATGATATGGAATGTAGTTCCCGGATAGGATATGACCAGTTTTACGACGTGTTGTACATGTTCATGTGGGTTAATTGGATAAAGTTTATACTACCGTTCGGTCATGCTGTTACGGGAGAAACGAAGACATTTTGCTGATCAAAACCTTTATATAAATATCATTAATTTCACTGTGTTTTTTGGGTACATTTGTTTTACTTAACTTATGAACTTGTTTGAATTATTATTTTCGGCCATTTTTGGACTCCTGTTTCTCTTCGCTGTTCGTTTGCAGTTTTTTGCTCCAAGAACCCATAAAATAGAAGGTGATTGTAGTTATTATAATTATTGTTGTTAGAATGACATTAGTCGTCTATTTGTAATAAACACATTTTGGTCGATTATTGGCGAATAGGAAATAAACTTTGGTATCTACTTTGGAATTTTCTTTTGGTTTAATACTTGGGATCGTGAATTGCAGATCGATCGACAACTGTGCTTCTAAGGATCAAAGAGCAAAAAACTGGACGTAACACATACTACCATAGATAGGGGAATCAAGGGGCTTAGTTGGCTTGATAGGTCATATCCATGTTGAAGGGCGGGTAGGGGTACTGCTGTAAGTCCTACTCGCTCTTCCGGTGTGGATTAGGGAATGAGAGGGAACCCAAACTTGAAGTGTCAGTGAACGCTTGCTTTTTTGCATGGAGGGATTTTGCGGGCCGGTGTAGAATCTTTTTTGAATGTTTTGTTTTCTGGAAAATCCCTCCATGTTTATATATTTTTGTTATGACATGACGGACTCTTTCTGTTGACATTTTGGTATTTTATTTGATTCCATTTTGAGATTTTATCACTGTATATTGTTATTATTTCTATATTTTGTACTTATATTGAACAACACATATAAGCGAACAATATTGTTTTCGATTAGATCGTCATCAGGCTTTACTCTAATATACATGAATATTTATATGAAAATGTTAAACCAATCAAGGCAATTTGAGTGATAATCACAATGAAATGAAAAAGATTACGTAACTACATCTAATAGGCAAAAGTTCAAGTGGATAATAGGAAAGCAGGTGTACTGATAGTAGTAAGAAAATTTATAAAATATGATAACTAAATTAGGTCAAGGGTGGATAAATAGAATTCAAATAATCATCAAAAACATCAAAAACATTACCTAATAAGCAAATGTATAAAAATAAAATAAAAAAAATCAAAAAATAATAAAAATATGTCAATCGTTAGTTACGTCATATCCGGCCATGGAAGAGATAGGGGTGTCACGAATTTCTTCTGAACACATAAATTAGGGTTGAATGTACGTATTCCTATGGCTTCTGCAATGTATAGGAGACGGGATCGAACTCCGTTGGGAAATGATGGAGGTATACGATAGATCACCCGAAAAGATCTATCTACAATGTGACCACTATCTACCAGGTGTGCTAAGTTAGAACTGCGTATTGTTTTTGACTGACGATTCGTAAATCATGCTGGGAGATGTTCACTCATTCGTTGGTTAAGTTGCCTGGAAGTACGCCCGATATAGCTATCTCCACAGGAGCAGCTGAATTTGTAAATGCACATAGAGGAGGCCAGCTCAGGTAACTTATCTTTCGTTTGAGTAGACATCGCAGGTCGACTGGAGAAAGTCAATGCAAGTTTTGCAGCGTTGAATATTCTGTTAATTACTCTTCTTAATCTGTCCTGCAGAGTATCGCAGGCCACATCTCCGTTGAATTGTAGCTTCATAAACAAAGGCTTCTTTCGGGCAGTCGAAACCACCGACTTCTTTTTTACGGCAGACATATACTTCTTTATGAATGCGCCGGGATAACCAATCTCGGTTAGTGAGCCATTGATCAATTCCAGCTCCTGACTTAAAGTATCCATTGAACATATCATATTTGCTCTGTAAGTGAGACATCTAACCAAATTTCTTTTGTATCGGACAGGTGTAAAACTACAAAATTGAGTGTATTGGCAAGCACTGGGATTTTTTCGATACACGCTCCTACTTAGTGAACCATCCTTTTGCCTGCTTAGTGTGATGTCAAGGAAAGACAGTTTTTTATCATATTCTTCCTCACCATTGAACGTGATTGCCGGGTGTACATTGTTGAATTGTTCTAAAAGTTTTTCTTTTCTGGTGTCCCGATCTACAATGATGAATGTGTCATCGACATAACGGCAATATAGATCAAGTTTCTGAATAACTTCGTTGAGTGGTCCACTTTTTAGCTTTGCTAGAAAGAGATCAGCTAGAATCGGGCCTAGAGGTGAGCCCATGGCTATACCGTCTATTTGTCTATAATAATTGTTGTTGAATACGAAATGGACATTCATCATGCATCTTAGGAGCAATTCCTTAAGGCAATCTTCGGGCAAGCCAATGTTGATTTGTTTTTCCTTAATTTGCTCGCATATGAAATCAATAGTCTCGAGGAGTGGTACGTTAGTGAACAACGAAACCACATCCAGTGAGATCATAATTTTCTTGCTAACATTCATACTTTCCACTTTGGAAGTGAACTCAAGAACATCTTTTACACTTTTTCGCACAACTGATTTATGTAAAGGCTCTAAAATTCGTACTAACCACTTCGCAATTTTGTGGTAAGGAGAACTGTACATATCAACGTACATATTAACGTACCACTCCTCGAGACTATTGATTTCATATGCGAGCAAATTAAGGAAAAGCAAATCAACATTGGCTTGCCCGAAGATTGCCTTAAGGAATTACTCCTAAGATGCACGATGAATGGAGATACTCCCATTTATTTCAAAACTGATGTGGCAAAATACTTCTGATGTTGCTTCAACACAAATGGCACGAAGTACTTGATCGGAAGGATTAAGCAACCCCCTTAAGTACTAAGGCTCGGAAAGATGAACTGACCGAGGCAATACTTCAACTGCCACTCCTTGGGTTCGATCAAATACTCCCAGCTTGAGATTTCAAGACTTTATCTTTAAATCTCAGCAAACAGGGCACAATTCCAAAAGTTAGGGTTCAAAGATGACTTGTCACAGCCAACAGTAGTTACGAACTGCTTGAACGTTTGTGTGACGCCGATGATTGGAGTAATTATGGAAAGCCTCCGAACGTAGACTCTTTGTTTACACATGATCTGCTCCTAGACGAGGATGCCCATGTCCCCACACCAATAGGAATCAGTGACCATGGCGCAGTCATGTTTAACAAAGTTACAAAAGGGGGATGAAAATATGTCCTGCCCCTGCTTCAAGGGGGGAAAGTACTCGACCTTGAGAGAACATCTATACGCCTTACGGCAGCGAGAACGTTGGAGGTCAACAACGGATGATCACTCGTAAACAGTGAGAGATATGATTCAGAATGCTGTCTTACACAAAGTACCTCAGACAAGTCACGCACTGGAAAAGAGAACTGGAAAAGGAACTGAACACCTGATAGATGCGAAATGGAGAGCCTGGAAAAGGTTGGAGGTCTCGTTGAAGGATTCCGACCGTAGTTCTTACTTGGAATTGATTAAAAGATTAATGCCAGGGTTCAAAATCATAGGATACACTTCTAGACAGAGCTAGCCACCAAAACACAGACAAATCCAAAATGTCCATTTGAGTTCATGACTAATAGGAAACCGACCAACCATGGTATTTGTACTCTGAGAGGTCTAAATGGCGACGATTTTACCAACCGAGAGATGGTTGTGATCTTCAACGCCAGCTTAACTGGTAGGTTAAACAAGGGACCTACCCATTCATAGTGCTATTAAAACCTCTTGCCAGATCATAGATTAGGTCATATCCGACTTAATTCTGACTTAGTAGCAAGAAAACTGAAACCCGTACACCCAGGAAAGTCACCAGGCTGCGACAGCAGTTGTCATATAGTCAGCGGTATGAGACATATTCAGGTACTTCTCTGGAGTCCCTGAATCGAAACAAGAAACTATCTGGCGATAGAGAAGAGCCAGTCTGCTACAAACCAGTCGCTTTACTACCAATATTAAAGAAGTCAATGGGAGGAATGGTGAATGAACTAACGAAGGAGTACATGGATATTATCGACATCCACCATGAAGCTCAACGCGAGTTTAGGTGAGGCACGCCTTGAGCATACATTCTTCTCAGCAAACGACAGCTCTGACGGTTTCGAAAATGGACCACACTGACCCACTTCTATTTTGGCTGAGAAATTACTGAGTGAACAGTATGTTTATTACGTTTTTAAATGGAGAGCATGTGAGCTGGAGAATATTAATATCAGGATTTCCATGGTAGGCCGTCTTAGATCCACTCCTCTTCGCATTGAGAGTTGTCTCAACTTGGAATGCTCCTCAGATCGATAACTCAAACTACATCACTTATTATCTGTTTCTTCTCCCTCAAGTACACTTCGGTTCTATCGCACCAGCTTCGTTGCGAATTAACAAACTCCTTTAGGTATTAACATGCATCTGAAAATTTTCTTTCCTCAACTGGTGTGGTTTGTGTAAGGTGCTGGTATCCAGAAGCCCTAATACCCTGAGACAAATTCACGGGAAATAATAATTCATAGAGAACTGTAAACCGACTAAAATTAGTGCAATCCTCTGTATACCCTAAACTGTGCCCAAATAACAAGAATCAAGTGTAAAGAAGTCAACTGGTTAATACTAGCTGATGAAAAGTATATTGGATATTGAAGACTTGATGTGATGCAATAAAGGAAATCTTGTTAACAAAATACCTGTCTTTCGGCTAGTTCCAAAATCAAAATTTAACTTTCTTAAAAAGATTGGTCACGAATGTCCGAGTAAAAGAAATACGCGATTGTGTACCTATTTCTTATTCTGCATCAATGCTATAGCTTCACATCTACGTATCTCACTACTTTTTTCGAATTATTGTGTGGTCAACTTGAGGCCATGAACGCTAGCGTTTTAGGGAATGTGAGCGATACGAACGGGACGATTACGAACCTGGAGTTCAATATGGACAGCGTGATAACGAATTTAGCACTGTTTTTTTTGGCGATAGTACCTATTTATATAGGTTCTTTTCGTTCAACGACCAGTAAAAAATCAACTGGAGAGATAGAAGTTGTATCTGGTAGTGATGCTGCACTGTTTCCATTTCTTGCAAGTGCGGCGCTCTTCGGGATTTACATAGTATTTAAGGTTTGTCTGGCTTTGTAGTTGTACATTGTTAAAGTTTATTCCCATTCATTACATCAATGCTGTTATGAAGCTGTACTTTTCTTTTATGGGTGCTTGTGCAATGTCCCGTTTCCTGTCGTAAGTATTTTTCCTACTGCCCAGCTTTTTAGACCCATTTTTCGCCCTTACATGCCGAAATGTGTAAAAAATATGCGCTTTAAGGTTGAGTTCTCAAGAAGTTTGGAGCGCTCAGATGACTCGGAATCACAATGGAAATTATTGGGTAAGTAAATACGGATGCTTTCATTCCATCTGATAGACAATGTTGACTTTTCGATTGAGTCGAAGGACTTCATAGGCACCGCCATGGGTATTTTACTTGGCATGTGGTACTTTATTACGGGAGTAAGTCGAAATTAATAATGCTATTCTGTAGCACTGGATTGCCAACAATTTTATCGCAGTGACAGTCGCGATTTTAGCCATCGAATTCATAAGGTTGAACAAGTTTGTGAATGGCATACTACTTCTTTGCGGATTGTTCGTATATGATATATTTTGGGTAAGTCAGATCTCGCCTTTTTAAAGCTCAGGTGTTTGGAACCGGTGTTATGATGGCTGTCGCAAAAAACTTAGATATTCCAATCAAGGGTGAGCAGCCTTATGTCAAACGCGTATATCTACTGTATTTTTTCATGTTTAATACCACTAATTTGATGCTATTTTCTGGTTTTACTAACGAATTTTGATGATTTAGTTTGGTTAACGTTTTCACAAAACTCCGGAAAAATTCACCAAAACTAGTTAAATGTACTGCACACTCAAGTTGTGCAGTTCTTTTCTTGATGCCTTTGACTCTTTAATGTGGCAATTAAGCAAAGTATTTGCTCTCGCAAAATTTCAATATAGCCATATCGACCTACCAGTAATGTTAAAAATAGACCAAAATAAGCATTTTAGGTATTCAATGTCAGTCAGTAAGTTGCAACGTAGAACGTCGTACGTAAGCACATCATTTGAGGTTGCCATACCACATCAGCACAGAGACGCAATTGTCACTTCAAATCCCATAGTGGTAGAGATAGTAGGAGAATTACTGCTAATGGAGAAGATTAGGATTTGAAGATAATATTCAAGAAGTATAATTCAATGAGGTAAGTTTAGAAAGAGAAAGATAGAGGTGATGAGGAATTCAGAAGGTTATAATTTCACAGGAGTAAATGCACCTGCACCGTTACAGACGGTTTTGAGCCGTGTCACTCAGGGTCTCTAACCATCGATTACTAACATCTCGCGGACCCCAACCAGGTAGTCGACACCTACTAACATGACTCAGTCAACTTGTCAACGACTTCATAGATTTATACCATGTTTAGGTTTGTCAGCCCTTAGCTTTCTTCCAACTTCTACACCACAAAACATGGCTCGTCGAGGTAGTCGGTGGTAAGCATACGTAACACGTGCCAACCATCTCAACTGATGAAGTCTCGATACTTCATCTATTTATCTGCCATCCTTACCTAGTACTCATTTCCTAATGGCAGTATTGCTTACTCGGCTGGTCCAGGATACACAAGCAATACTTTTAAGACATCTATGATCGAAAACAAGTAACCTACGAATAGCTTCTACCTTACCGGCCATGTTTCGCATCCACATAAGAGAACGGAGCGAAATACTGTGCAATGTACTCGACCTTTGGTTAGCAAACGCTTATCTCGCCTGCGGCATAAGTGACTCAGGTCGGCAAAAGCCAGTTGAGCCTTCTGTACCGTGCTGAGATTTCATCAGTCACTAGGCCATCAGCAACGATGAGACTCTCGAGATAGGTGAATCGGTCTACACACTCAACGGCATATTCTAAGTTGACAGGTGAATCTCCCGGTTGAACGTCTACTCCTGAAAATTCAGACGAAGGTAATGTTATACCTAGCACCATGTCTATGACAAAATTAAACAAGAATGGGGGAAGTGGACATCTCTGACGGACACCACTTGAAGTAACCAATTCCGATGTCAGTTCGCCACAAGCTCTCACTCGACTAGTGGTGTTCGAGTAGAGAGATTGTATAAGGTCAATATACTTCTTTGGTACATCTGCTAGTGACAGACACTGCCACAGAACTTCGCGATCCACTGAGTCAAATGCCGCCTTAAGATCCAGAATGATAGCTATCGTCGGACGCCTAAATGTGTGTCTCTGTTCCAAGACCTGTCGTAGTGTGAAAATGTGGTCTATACAGCCACGTCCAGGTCTGAAACCAGCCTGGTTTTCTCTAGTCTGCTCTTCACGAGCTCTAGTTAGGCGTCTAAGGATTATCGAGGCTAAAAATCTAGAAACTATATTAGTTAGACTTATTCCCCTGTGATTGTCGCAAGAGGACTTTTGTCCTTTCCTACCCAAAGACCAGTAACAACAGTAGTAGCTAAATACAATCTTATAAGATGCCTCGTCTTCCTAGAAGCTAAATTTGGCGCTTAATGAAACATTTTTTCTGTCATTCATTCAAAGACTCAGTTTGTTGACAGTCAACATTGTTACTCTGTGTTTTTAGTTACTTTTCCGCGTGATTTCCTTTCACATGGACTATTCGGCAAACAGTTGGCCTTGCTTGGTCTTGGTGATATAGTTGTCCCAGGAATATTCATCGCCATGCTTCTTCGATTCGATACAAAGTAAGTGTCAAAGGTAATTACCTATAGATAATATTCTAAACTGGTGAACATGATCTTAGCTTGGCCGTAGTTAGAATAAATGGGCTATTTAGCCTAATGAACTTTATTTGTTTTGAACAGTAACTGAAGGATAAGAAAAACGCATCGATGAATTCAATATCGTTTGTGACAAACCTGAGGGATTATGATTGGTGAATAAGCTATGCGTAGTCATACAAGGTCAATGAGAGTAAAGGTTGTAACTGAGAGCATACAATGTGGAAGCTGCTGCGTCTGAATAGCTGTCCAATGAATCTTAAAAAGTGAGAACAACTAATACAAGGGTTAAGAGGAAACAATTATAACAATAAATGCCAATGGTATAGGTATAAACTTAATGATATCACAACAAATAAAATTGCCGCTCACCTTATTCTTAGATATTAAAAATCCGACTGTCTACTCAATATCAACAAGTAGTATAATGATTACTTACTTACTTACGCCTGTTAACCCCAATGGAGCATAGGCCGCCAACCAGTTTTCTTCAACCAACTCTGTCCTGGGCTTCCCTCTCCAGTTCTGTCCAATGTTTGTTCATTCCTCTCATATCTTTCTCTATTTCTCAGCGTAATGTATTCCTTGAACTTCCTCTTTTCCTTTTGCCTTGAGGGTTCCATGTGAGGGCTTGTCTAGTGACGCAGTTAGGTGCTTTTCGTAGTGTGTGTCCTATCCACTTCCACAGCTTCTTCCTCTTCCACTGGAATCTGGTTTGTTCTCTCGCGCAGTAAGTTGTTGCTGATGGTGTCTGGCCAACGAATCCGAAGTACTGTGCGTAGACAACTGTTAATAAACACTTGTATCTTCTGGATGATGGCTTTCGTAGTTCTCCAAGTTTCCGCTCCATACAGTAAAACTGTCTTGACATTTGTATTGAAAATCCTGATTTTGGTTTTGGTTGAAAGTTGTTTGGAGTTCCAGATATTTTTCAACTGTAAAAATGCAGCCCTTGCTTTGCCAATCCGCGCCCTCACATCTGCATCCGATCCACCTTTCTCGTCGATGATGCTGCCCATGTCAAGGTGATAACGTCCTCCAAGGCATCTCCATCAAGAGTGATTTGGTTGGTGCATGTTGTGTTGCATCGGAGAATTTTGCTTTTTCCTTTATGTATGTTGAGACCTACTGCTGCAGAGGCTGCTGCTACACTGGTCGTCTTCTCTTGCATTTGTTGTTGCGTGTGCGATAGAAGAGCCAAGTCATTTGCGAAGTCCAGATCGTCCAGCTGCGTCCTAACTGTCCAGTTGATACCGTGCTTCCCCCCACATGTCGACGTCTTCATAATCCAGTCGATCACCAGGAGAAAGAGAAAAGGTGAGAGTAAGCAACCTTGTCTGACACCGGTCTTCACCTCGAAAGAGTCTGTTAGCTGACCTCCGTGTACGATTTTGCAGTTGAATCCATCATAAGAATTCCGTGTGATGTTAATTATTTTCTCAGGCACCGCGTAGTGTCGAAGAAGCCTCCACAGTGTTTTCCTATCCACGCTATCGAATGCTTTCTCGTAGTCGATGAAGTTGATGTAGAGTGGTGAGTTCCATTCAATTGATTGTTCCACAATGATCCGTAATGTAGCAATTTGGTCAGTACACAATCGATACTTACGAAATCCGGCCTGTTGATCTCGAAGTTGGGCGTCTACGAAGTCCTTCATTCTGTTTAACAATATCCTGTTGATGACTTTGCTTGGTATTGAAAGAAGAGTGATGCCTCTGTAGTTCTCACACTTGCTGAGATCGCCTTTCTTTGGTATTTTGATCAGGTATCCTTCTTTCCAATCTGATGACACTTGTTCCTCATCCTAAATCTTCTTGAAGAGGATGTGAAATATTTTCGCAGCTGCTTCTACATCTGTTTTCATTGTGTCTGCTGGAATGTTGTCTGGTCCTGCTGCTTTGCCGCTCTTGATTTGTCTGATGGCCATACTGATCACCTCAATCGTAGGTGCGCTGACTGACTGACTGACTGGAGGTGCGCCAATATTAATTGGGAGGTCCGTAGATACTGCTTCGATGTTGGGTGGGTTCAGTGGAGCTGGTCGATTCAGGAGTGCCTTAAAGTGCTCTACCCACCTATTTCGCTGTTGTTAAGTGTTGCTGATTACTTTGCCTTCCTTGCTTTTCACTGGTCGTTCTGGTTAACGATAGTTTCCAGCGAGCTTCTTTGTTGTTTCATACAATTTTCTCAAGTTTCCGTCTCTTGCAGCCTTTTTCGCCGTCATCGCTAGATCTTGCACATATTTTCGTCTGTCAGCTCTGATGCTCTTCTTCACTTCCCTGTTTGCTTCTGTGTATGCTGCTTGTGCCTTAACTTTCTCTGCTCTTGTTCGGCTGACATTGATTGCTGCCTTCATGTTCCTTCTTTCTTCAATTTTTGCAAGAGTATCAACAGAGATCCATTCCTTGTGATGGTACTTCTTGTGACCCAGAACTTCGTGACATGTTGAAGTAATTGCCTCCTTGATCCCGTTCCAATCATTCTCCAATGTTGTGTCCTCTCCATTGAGTTGATCCTGAAAGGCCTGGAACCTATCGGAGAGGGCTATCTTAAATTCGTTGAGTTTTACGGTATCCCGAAGAAAGGCCGTATTAAACTTGTGTGATGCTGTCTGCCCCGTTGTCCAGTGCTTCTTTAGCTTCAGTTTCATTTTGGCGATCAGCAAGTAGTGATCTGAGGCTATATCAGCTGCTCTTCTGGTTCTCACATCCTCCATGGTCCTTCTGAACGTTTTGTTGATACGGATATGGTCAATTTGGTTTTGAGTAGTGTGGTCTGGTGAAATCCATCTGGCTTTGTGTATGCGTTTGTGTGGAAATATTGTGCCACCGACGACCAGTTTGTTGAAGGCACATAGTTTTGCAAATCTCTCACCATTTTCGTTCCTTTCTCCCAGTCCATGTCGTCCCATGATGTCTTCATATCCAGTGTTGTCCATTCCAACCTTGGCATTCAGGTCTACCATAAGAATCGTCAAATCCTTTGGTGAACATTTATCGACCACTGACTGCAGCCTTTCGTAGAATTGATCTTTAACGTCTTCATTGTAGTCGTTGGTAGATGTATAGCATTGGATGACGTACATTGTAATGTCCTCTTTCTTTGTTTTAAAGGGTGCTTTAATGATCCTCGGTCCATGAAATTCCCATCCTATCAGTGTCTTTTGTGCATGTTTGGACAGCATCAGTGCAACTCCTTGTGTATGTGAAGCATTTTCCACTTCATGACCAGAGTATAACAGCAGTTCCCCCTGAAGCTAGTCTCAGTTGTTCTGCCTGTGTCCAATGCGTTTCACTGATGCCGAGCACCTCGAGGTTGTATCTTTTCATTTCTGCTGCAACTTGAAATAGTCTTCCAGTCTCCCACAATGTACGAACGTTTCATGTACCTAAAAGAATGGTTGCTCTGGTTGTGAGAAGAGGCATCGGCCCCGTGACTTCCGAGGGAACTAGGCTTTCATCACGTGACGTCATAATCCTTCTTCCAACTCCCAGGGCAGAGTTAGGATGGTTTGAATTATTTTTTCTGGTTAGCGTTTTTTTGGCAAGTTAGTTTTTGACGGAATGGGGTCGCCAACCCCATGTCCAACCCTCCTCTTTTACCCGAGCTTGGGACCGGCAGTAGCCCCTAAGGTTCTACTGGCGGAGTTAGTATAATAAATAATAAAGTAATACACAAGAAACAGGTTCGATAAGATGAAAATAAGAACAGAAAGTGCAAAGGTATTTGACAGTTGTTTTTTATTAAAACTTTATTTGTGAAAGGTACCAAGATTTGTATCATCTACTAGTTTATCTATAGCTTTATTTATCGTGTCCCCAAATTATTGGCATAACAGCATCACAAGTAAGCATGCAAGTATGTTGGCCGTACTGCATGATTGTTAAAATTCACTTTTAATAGTTTTAATTAAGATGCAGATATATTGTAGTGTCAGTACTGAAATTCTTGTATTTTGTCAAACAGTTACCCGTTTTGCTATAGTTATAAATTTTTCTAATTGATGTTGCCATTTGTAGTGAGGCTTTAAAACTGTTCTTCACTTGCATTCTGCATAACCTAAACGTAGTCATCAATTCTGTACCCTTTTGACAGACTTGGACGAAAGAATAGCTACGCTTACTTTTACTCCGGATACATAGCCTATATCGCTGCTATCGTAATGACTTTCGTAATGATGCACGTATTCAAACATGCCCAGGTAAGCGAACAGTTTGTTTAGTCGCTCGTTTCAGAAACAACTACTCTTCTTAATTACAAATAATCAACAAATAAACTTTTAAAATGTTCATGCTAGTAATATTTTCAACCAGATCCATTGTTAAATTATTCAAAGTAATGTGCTGACATTAAACGTAGTCATACATGTTATAAGCGGGTGTCACTCGGTCTGCAGCAATATAGAACTTAATACGTACGTACGTAGGTTGAGGTTTCCATTATGACCGTCAGTAGGTATGTTCGAAACTATTACAGGTTCACCTTAGTCGATAAACGAGAACGAGACCAGGTAGGCTACCCTGATCCGATGACTAATGAAGAAGTCTTGATGTAACGTAGACGTGTATTCTACAAACACCCGGCAAACACCATGATCTCAAGCACACAAATCTCGTGTATATATATATATATATATATATATATATATATATATATATATATACATTATAGAAATGTTCATTGGACAGTCAGAAAAATAGCGCACTAAAATACACAGCAACCAATTACAGCCAAGGAGTTTCCCGGTGTGGAATGAAATCTTAGGTCAACTGATCAGCCCATGCTCGCAAACATGAAATCCAAAATTAAGGCATTTGTCGAGCGAGTTCTGGGGATCTAACGTCCCCAACATTATTTGATAGAAGACAAAGGTCTCTAACCATCGGTTACAATCGTCTCGCGGACTCCAACCAGGTAGTGTACATCTAGCAAAATGGTTCAGTCCGCTTGTCAACGGACTTCATTTATTTGTTTTATGTTTTGTCTCGTCCGCCCCCAACTCTTTCCCAACCTACCCTTACATCAGATAACATCGCTCGCTGAGGCAAACGATGGTTAGGAATATGTAACACATGTACCAACCACTTCAACTGATGCAGATTCAATACTTCCATCCTTACCCAGTACTCTTTCTCTAACACCAGCATTGCTTACTCGATGGTCCCAGGATGTACGGGCAATGCCTCGAAGTTACCCATGATCAAACACTAGTAACCTACTAATATCCTATAGTCTAAGCGGGTGTTTCACACGCATATAGTAGGACGGAGCGAACTAGTGCGTAGTAAACTCATCCTTTTGTTAGCAAACGGATATTGCGCGTATGCCATAGGTGACGCAATTTGGCGAAAGCCATCAAGCCTTCTATATTCGTGCCATAGTTTCGCCACACACGAAGTCATCAGAACTGATGGGACTACGGAGTTAGATGAGGCGGTCAACACGCGAAACTACTCCACTCCCTATCCCTGGTTCGATTACCAACGCAAGCTAATCCTGAAGCAACATTACATTTCGACTGGGAGAATCACATCCCGGACAAGCTTGTATTGTTGCTTAAGGTGGTCAGAAGACTGCATTTATCAGCGTCTTTACCGAATAGAACTATATGATTGGCATATTCTAAGTCGACAGGTGAATCTCCCGGTAGAAGTTAAATTGCTGAAAAATCAGACGAGGACAGTGTTATCTTTAAAAGCATGTCTATGGCAAAGTTGAAGAATGGAGAAAGTGGACAGCACTGCTCTTCACGAGCTATATCACTCATTCTCTTTCTGCGTCATACATTGGTTCTTTCGTATCCAATCAGCTTATCTTTTACCTCGTCCGAGCTGCAGTCAGTGGGAGCGTAGGCAGAGACAACGGCGAGTGTCCCTTTCTGAGTCCCTACTGTACTGGTAAGTCGGATAGCGCGCAAGCGACTACCTACTGGGATTCATTCTAAGAGAGCTAGTTCTGCTCTAGGACCATATGCTATGCCTACACCGGTGAGGCCACGGGAAATAGAAGTGGGGCTTCCAGATACACAGAGCGTAAGATCGCGACGGTTCTTTATTTTGATAAAGTGAGTTCAAGTGAATGAATCTACTTGGATCCTATATGCTTGTTTCGGAGATGCAGCATGCATCAGTGGCACGAGATTCTAGAGTTCTATCTAAGGAACCTTGTTTCCTATTCGGCACAAGTTCCGAAAGTTACAAGTTTCGATATGTAGTTTACAGTGGTCTGTTAGGAGACCATCGATAAGATTCCGTGTATTCAAGTCGTTACCTTTAGCGGCAAAAGGTGATGTAGGTATTCGAGAAGTGTAAGTCTTGGGGATAAGAGAATTATTAACAGGTGAGGTAGGATTTGATCGTGAAGAAGTCGATCTCGTGAGCTGTTACGAGTATAAGGGCAGATGTCACTTCCCGGTTGCCCACACCGAGCTTCGCCCTCAAAAGGCCTTACCGCTGTAGACGGAAACCGGTGGAGTAGGGTGAGGTGGGACAATATTATGGTCGACATTTCTTAACCCACTTCTTTCATATGTGAAGGCAGCATTGCTGAAGATGCTGGTTTTCCGAAAGAAAAATCTCTATGCAGTCACACATCTACAGTACAACTTTACCTATAGACCTTGAGTTGCTGTTCTTAGTCTTACCGTTCTCCAATCGATATACCTGTCATGGTACGACCTAAAGGAACATATGTCCCAGCCAATGTAGCTCTGTTGAGTCATCACAATAGACGAACCAGTCCACCGCTTCATGGTAGGAACTACCGTCAGGTGCGTGGATGTAGTTCCAATCCTAGATTGTTACGCCGTTAATTTTTATTCGGAACTTCATGTGTTTTAAAATTCGTCATCTGCTAACCAACTAGCTACCTTCAGATGGTGGTCGGGATTGCCTATCGTGATGACCCAACCGAGCTATATTGGCTGGAACATATGTTCCTGGAGGTTCTACCATGCCAGAAAGGTCGATTATAGGACGATGAGACTGAAAGCAGCTACTCAAGGTCTGAGGGCGAAGTCGTACTGCTGACTGACTTCAGAGGGTGTGACAGCAGTAAGGTGTTTTCTTCGGACTAACAGCATCTGCAGCGATGCTGCCTTCTCACAAGGAAGGAAGGGTTAGAAAATGTCGACCGATAAAATGTCACACCTCAACCTACCGCACGGATTTCCGTCCCCGGTAGTAAGGGTGCCCACTAAGGGCTTTTAAGAGCGGAGCTAATACTCAAAAAGTCTCTCGTAAAAAGGCCGTGCGTGACCGGCTTCAAGCAGCTGTCCCTTGGGCTCTGCGGTCACGCAACCAGGTCTCTGAGACCGACACTAATCTACCTTCTTTTTCAGGTCCCTCAGGGAACAACCTTCCACGGTGTGGGCAACCGGGAAGTGACAACCGCCCTCATAACTGTGACAGCAAGCGAGATCAAATCGGTCATAATCAAATCCTCCCTACTCCTCTTACTAACTCTCTTATCTCATCGACCAACCCTTCTTTCTATCGTTTATCACCTCACGCCACTGAAGCAAACGGTATGAGCTCACGAAACAATGTTACTGGTCTCTTCAAATCCCGTACTAAATTACATATTGGAGCTTTTAATGTTCAGAACCTATATCGAATAGTGTGAAAGGCTTCATTGGCTAGAACTCTGTGCACGACTTTTCGAGCAGCAATCGAACCCATAGCCTTCAATCTCCCCCACAAACGAGTAACTTCTAGACCACTCACTCGGGTTAGTTGAAGCCGTAGTGCAGACAGAGACACAACAAGGTTTACGCTTTGTGTTTTTGGAAGCCCTGATGCCGCTTCTCATGGCCTTGCCGGCTTATGCATAGTATTAAGTCCTAGGGGAGAAATAGCTCTCTTAGACTGGATCGCGATAGACAGTCGCCTATGCTCTGTCCGACCAGACGGGACAGTAAGGACTCGGAAACATAGGAAAACTCGCCGTTGCCTCTTCGTCATATCTGCCTACGCTCCCAGTGACTGCAGTTCAGACGACATGAAAGATGAGTTTTACAGAAACCTCCCTAACCTTCAAAATCTAGAGCACTCTGATATAGTAAGATGACTGGTGACTGTAATGGTCAAGTAGGTAGACTCAGCGAAAAGGATAGACACCTGGGTTGATTTTATAGTTTCGTGGCTAATAGAACAGATAATGGCGACCGTCTGCTGCAGATATACTCAGATAACCGTCTATTTCTATCGAACACTAGATTAAGCATAAGGTGAAACACCTTTTGACCTGGTGACCACCGAAGCCGACCCAATGATGGACCCAACTAGATCACATCGCTATAAGCCATTGGTGGAGAGGTTCTGTTGAATACTGCCACTCATTCTGTAGCACTTGTTTACACTGAGACCATGCTCTAGTGCGAGCGCGTATTTGTTTGCGTTTTATCGTAAGGAACCTCATAGGGCTCTACTCAATGATAGCAGAGCTATAAATATATTTCGGTAACAACTAGAAAACCAGTTAGGCAGCCATGTAGTAAGTGATGCTCAACCTGAGGCAGCTTGTAATGATATCAAAAAGGCTGTGGAAACAGCAATGATATCTGCTAGTAAGGTGAATCATGAGGTTAAGGAGAAGCCGTGGATTTCAGTATCATCTACGGCACTGATGGATGCTCGTAGGCTCATCCGTCCTGGCTCTGAGTACGATGAGGAGCGGAGTCATCTCATGTGCATGCTGATAAAACGCCTTCGCAATGATCGATAACAGTGAATGGTAGCGAAACCGAGAGAAATGGAAAAGGCAACGGCGATAGGCAACATTGGGCAACTATTCAGACTCATCAAGGAAACCGGAATTAGGAACCCGGACATGAGTGAAACTATCTCAGAAAAGTATGGTCTTATTATTCATTCTCAATCCAGGAGCTTGGATCGATAGACAGAACACTTTAGGGATAAATTCAACCGACCTTCAGTCACCCTTCGGTTACCCACGGTCTCCAGTCATCCTGAATGAGAAAACGACATAAGTCCTCCTAGTCTTTATGAAGTTGAGAAAGCGTTAGGAAATCTGAAGCGATGGCGAGCTGTGGGTCCTGATAGACTGACCCCTGAGATATTTAAGGATGGTGGTCCAGTTTTAGCAACTAGATTGACTGAGGTCTTAGATAGAATCTGCGAACTAAGCGTAATACCATCCGATTGATCTCAATCACTGATTGTCCCAGTCTAAAAGAAAGGACAAAAGTCCTCTTGCGACAATCACAGGGGAATAAGTCTAACTAATATAGTTTCTAGATTTTTAGCCTCGATAATCCTTAGACGCCTAACTAGAGCTCGTGAAGAGCAGACTAGAGAAAACCAGGCTGGTTTCAGACCTGGACGTGGCTGTATAGACCACATTTTCACACTACGACAGGTCTTGGAACAGAGACACACATTTAGGCGTCCGACGATAGCTATCATTCTGGATCTTAAGGCGGCATTTGACTCAGTGGATCGCGAAGTTCTGTGGCAGTGTCTGTCACTAGCAGATGTACCAAAGAAGTATATTGACCTTATACAATCTCTCTACTCGAACACCACTAGTCGAGTGAGAGCTTGTGGCGAACTGACATCGGAATTGGTTACTTCAAGTGGTGTCCGTCAGAGATGTCCACTTCCCCCATTCTTGTTTAATTTTGTCATAGACATGGTGCTAGGTATAACATTACCTTCGTCTGAATTTTCAGGAGTAGACGTTCAACCGGGAGATCACCTGTCAACTTAGAATATGCCTGTGAAGACTCTGAAAAAACGCAGTCTTCTGACCACTTTGAGCAACAGTGCAAGCATGTTCCGGATGCGCTTTTCTGCCTCGAAATGCAAATTGTTGCTTCAAGATTGGTTTTCATCGGTACCTGAACCACTGATAGGGAGTGAAGTAGTTGAGCGTGTAAAGGATAGTTTAAAAAGTAATTCGAATATAGGTTATCGTTTTCGTGTTTTCACATGCTTCAAATATTGACTAAAGAAACCTATGTATGATTGTTAACGTGATGCAACTGAGTAACTATATCAAAAGTGTAAAGGGAAGTAATCACAAGTGGATTGACAGTAAGAAGACTAATTTAACTTCAACGGTAATCACATATTCACGTTTTGTGAGCGTCAGAATACGTTACAGGTCCTACTGACTAACTTTACTAACATTCTTTGGTTTGAATGATTCAGTCTAAAATCTAAACTACTATCTAACTTATACGTATTACCATCATTTTCACTGCTAAGACTCGTTTATCTTAGCGATCCTTCCCACGATTTTATTTTCAATAAATTGAGTGGTAGGTACAATTTTTATTTGATATTATCATGCCTTGTTCGTAACAGATTTCTTTTAGCTAGCTTTTCTGTATTAAAATTATTGCATACTTCTGTGTGCATAAATCCTAGTAAAATAAAACTTCTGTACATAAATAGTTGTGTTTACTGCTTTTTCATCAATGCAGCCGGCTTTACTTTACCTAGTACCTGCCTGTTTGGGTGCACCACTGATTATGGCTTTAATGAAAAATGATCTTGGTGCAATGTTCAGGTGAGTCCTTGCTTGATGCTTGCAGAAATGAATCGGTGTTTTTCTAGCAGACCCATTTTTGACATTTTTATTATCCCTAATGTATACAATCCATAATAATTTACTTATTATAAAACTGACACAAGTAATCTAACAACACTAACCTATTGTGGATTGTAAGGTTGTTTTCGTTTCCTAAATATCCATAACCTTATATAACCACTTCTTGGGAGCTGTTAGACAAAAAAGATTCCTGTACAACTCCAAATGTTTTTTTCCTCTACTTGAAATACATAGGCAAGGTTTTAATTAATAGTTATGCTAGATAAATTGAGGAAAATAAGAAATTAATACATGGCTATCGAAAAAAGTAAACAAAACGCAAATAATGTTATTTTTGAAAGAAAACAGCATATTGATCCATTTTAACTCGCTAGAAGTATATTCAGCTACATTTTGCGAAATCACTAACTAGTAGTAGTTTGTGCAATATTCTGCATGGAAATGTGTTGAGCTTGTTGTTGGTTTGTTAGGCAGGAAAGTAATACAAATTATTAAACAATCTGACGATAATATACTTATGTGCGTATACAACATAATACACAAAATTATTTGTTAATCTAACAAAATTTAAGCTAAGGTCATCGGTTAAATCATTAATCTGATTAATTATTTAAAAATCAATATCGTGTTGTGGTTGAAGTACTCGTTTTCTAACAACAAAATTTCACATAGAATTTCTCTAGTTGAGAATAAATTCGATACGTTTCGTAATCTATAAGTCTTAACTCTCTTATTCCTTCGTTTCGATTTATTCGTACTGCAACTGTACACTTTGATTTCAATGTACAGTAATGCAACATCTCAGAAACGTGTTTCATTTGTTGACTTTTTATAATATACATGTGTCAAAACTTTCCGGATTTGAATCGGTGCCAAAACGATTATTTTTTAAAAACTAATATGAATAGGTACATAAATTTGATTCAATCATCATGAAAATACTATTCATTTGTTAATAATGTAGACCCCGGGGCAAATTTGCATTGGCCCAAGATGTCATATCGCACTAGAACAATAAAAATAAATCGACACAAGAATATACTATACTATTGGCTAAGACAGTAAGAGTAATTAAGCAGTTACAATATTCTAGACAGAAGGAAAGGGTATATATCTATATCAAAAGGCATAAAAAAAGTAAATACAACTTGTGCTATTGTGACTAGAATATCGCACCCCTGATGTATGCTGCATCTCCGAAACGTGCATACAGGATCCATGTAGAGTCATTTACTTCAATCAATCAATCAACAGTAACGTAAGTACGCACGTACATCAGTTCAAGGTGCTATAGCACAGAGATTAAATTGTCAATTTAAATCCCATAGTAGTAGAGTTAGTAAAAGTACTAGCAGTTATCGGAGAGATTAGGGTTCGAAGATATTATTCGAGAGGTAGAATCTAGTGAAATTAACTTGTAAAGTGATGAGGAATTAAGAAGTTCAGGATATGAGAGAGTCATTCACTTGAACTCACTTTATCAAAATAAAGAACCGTCGCGATCTTACGCTCTGTGTATCTGGAAGCCCCACTTCTATTTCCCGTGGCCTCACCGGTGTAGGCATAGCATATGGTCCTAGAGCAGAACTAGCTCTCTTAGAATGAATCCCAGTAGGTAGTCGCTTGCGCGCTATCCGACTTACCAGTACAGTAGGGACTCAGAAAGGGACACTCGCCGTTGTCTCTGCCTACGCTCCCACTGACTGCAGCTCGGACGAGGTAAAAGATAAGCTGATTGGATACGAAAGAACCAATGTATGACGCAGAAAGAGAATGAGTGATATAGCTCGTGAAGAGCAGTGCTGTCCACTTTCTCCATTCTTCAACTTTGCCATAGACATGCTTTTAAAGATAACACTGTCCTCGTCTGATTTTTCAGCAATTTAACTTCTACCGGGAGATTCACCTGTCGACTTAGAATATGCCAATCATATAGTTCTATTCGGTAAAGACGCTGATAAATGCAGTCTTCTGACCACCTTAAGCAACAATACAAGCTTGTCCGGGATGTGATTCTCCCAGTCGAAATGTAATGTTGCTTCAGGATTAGCTTCAACTCCAACTGCTGATATAAATATAATTCTGAAGACTTTAGGAGCTGCTTTTAATCGCCTTATATTTTGTTATAAAAATGTAGTCAACTAGTTTGTTCCTATTATTCTAGCTATGAAGATGAACCAGGATTGGCGACGAAAAGTCCGGAGATTGAGTTGTCAAACAAATCTAAGAAAAATAAATAATAGAGTCATTGGAATCGAAAGAACTTTACTGTCCTAGTTTGTACATATATGATTTATGTACGCAGTTATATTTTTGTGTCCAGCATGTAACGTTTGTTCAAAAAGACAAATTCAACTTTCTTGATTTTATCGCTTGGCTTAAAAAACTGTGATGCTGTTTGTTTATCTTGTAACATCAATATTCAAAGTTCCAAAATATGTAAACATTAAATTATTGTGTAACTATGGCACCGAATTAAATTTACTTCCAATCATTATCTTTATTTTATAAAAATATATTTAATGTAATATTTAAACAGTGCTAATAATAAATTTACTTACTTGCTTACTTACGCCTTTTACCCCCAGTGATGCATAGGTTACTGACCAGCATACTCCAACCTACTCTGTCCTGGGCCTTCCTTTCCAGTTCCACCCTATTGTTGTTTATTCTTGCCATGTCTGCTTCCAATTCTCGGAGTAGTGTTCTCTGGTCTTCTCTTCTCCTACTAATACTTTGGTTGACTTAACTTATTTTTTGAATGCTGACATTCTTGTAACATCAGTGATAACGGACAACAATTTAGCGCATGACATTTTATTTCCTAAGTTGGAGTAAACTTAGGGATCAGAGATTAATTACTAAAATAATCATACGTCGTCCATGCATTTTTTTGGAGGACTTTCGAAATGATTGGATCTTCTTTATCTGCCATGAGAACTTCGTTCAATAGTATGTTTAGTTGTCATGCGCGATTCAATATTACGAAATATTATATCATCTGGGTACATCAAGAGTCAGTGACTTGTGAATCAACATGAATAATTCATGTCGGGGTTTAGAAAGTGGCAACCTGGTCAGTATCTCATCTTCCTAAAACTCGTATTATATTCCAGTACAAGCTAAAAGTGTATTCTTGTTCTGATTTTACATCTATGTTCGTATTGTCGAGATGTGCAAAATAATAGTATTTCGTCAGGTGATTTGACACCAATGTCATTATCATGCCCCTTTTTTGAAATTTATCACACTGGCAAGAATATTCAGATCTGCTGATTCAGTATGGTAATTTAATGTTAGAAATAGTTACTGTTTACAGTACTTGTTTTGCGATGGCAGCTATAATTCTATTTTTGTGGACAGAACTTTCTGATTGGTTGGTTACAAAAAGCACCTTGCGTATTACAACAACTATGTTGTTATTAACCAGTCTATTTTGCGAAGGGACGTATTTCTTTCAGCTCATGTGCTACTGGGGTATAGTAACAAGACACTATCTCTGTCTCTCATGTGGAATACGGTTTTAGTATACTGCATAGACTTTCTAAGTATTAATTAAGTCAAAAGTATGATCAAACTGAGAGTCTAGTTCCACTAACTACTGATAGTCTCTGTAAAGATACAGTTATCAGAGTTACTCTGGTCCTAAGACGACTGCCGAATCAGACTACACAGAAGCCACGCTGGGGATGACAAGCAACTAGATCTTGGAAAACGTTCATTTTTTTTGGCTGAACTCCGTGTTAGCTTATCAGTACGAAGAAAACTAAGAAGCAGCATTTCGATGATTCGGAAGTCAGTCGCACTGGGGAGTAATGCATTTTCAACAGAGCCTGAGGCCAGATCAAATATCACAAATAACTAATATGATAAATGCAATGCACCAGCCACTGATACAGTATTCAGTTTACAAGAGATTGAGAAGTCTAGGAAGGAAAAACTGTGGTTTCGATTACAGACACTTCCGCATCTTGATATGTTATTCTCAAACGGTTTATCAAGCAATATGCTTTACGCAAGACATGTTCTTTCGAAACTAATCAGGTGGTAATGATAGTACGGCCCGAACTTATATTACGTTCCCATGACACGATCCACAATATTAGATTTCGAAAGCTTTAGACCTGTACAGTTTAAACCTCTCTATAGTTATATGATCTGTAGTTACATACAATGAGTGCGTGTTAACTTTATTCCACAAATCCTCTCTCATTATTTCAGTGTACGACTTACAATTAATCACCTTCCATGCAACAAAGGGGTTGCAGTGGGATAAGTGTACATAGGCTAATACCACATTTGAACGAACTTTAAGTATGTAGTTTATAAACTGTTCAGGCAAGGTAGCATCTAAAGGCTTTGACAAAAATACTATTCGAACATGTGTATTCTGTCCCTTAACGAATGCTCCACTTCTAAATATACTTAGGGGACGTTTTAAAAAATATTCTGGATCTTAATGATTGATCAATAGCGACGCAGGGCTTCGTACGTACGTACATCAGTTCATGTTGCCATACCACATTAGCACAGAGATGCAATTGTCAGTTCCCGACCGTAAGGCGGCATTTGACTTTGTTGATCGTGAGGTTCTGTGGCAGTGTCTGTCAATGAAAGGTGTACCAAAGAAGTACATTAACCTCATACAATCTCTCTACTCGAACACCACTGTCCGAGTGAGAGCTTATGGCGAACTGTCACCAGAATTCTCTACATCAAGTGGTGTCCGTCAGGGCTGTCCGCTCTCTCCATTCTTGTTTAATTTTATCATTGACATGCTGCTGGAAATAACCCTATCCTCGTCTGAATTTTCAGGAGTAGACCTTTTACCAAGGGGCTCGCTTATTGACTTAGAATATGCCGATGACATAGTCCTACTTGGTGAAGACACTGACAATATGCAGAGTCTTCTGACCACCTTAAGCAACAATGCAAGCATGTTCGGGATGCGGTTTTCCCCCTCGAAATGCAAAATGTTGCTTCAAGACTGGGTTTGATCGGCACCTGAACTAGTGATAGGGAGTGAAGTAGTCGAGCGTGTGGACCGCTTCACTTATCTGGGGAGTCTCATCAGTGCTGATGGCCTGGTGACTGACGAAATCTCAGCACGGATACAGAAGGCTCGATTGGCTTTTGCCAACCTGCGTCACGTATAGCGTAGGCGAGTTATCCGTTTGCTGACTAAAGGACGGGTGTACTGCGCAGTAGTTCGCTCCGTCTTACTTTATGGCTGTGAAACATGGCCAATGAGAGTAGAAGATACTCGTCGGCCATTGGTTTCCGATCATAGGTGTCTTAGAAGCATTGCTCGTATATATCCTGGGACACTCGAGTGAGCAACGCTGTTATTAGGAAACGGGTGCTAGGTAAGAGTGGCAAATCAGTAGATGAAGTGGTGAAACTTCATCAGTTGAGGTGGTTGGGACATGTGCTACGTATGCCTAACCACCGATTGCCTCGACGGGCTTTGTTTTGTAATGTAGGAATAAAAGCTAGGGGCGGCCAAACCAAAACATGGCAGCAATCCATGAAGTCATTGATGAGTGGACTTAGCCATGTCGGTAATTGTCGACTACCTGGTTGGGGTCCGCGAGATGATAATAATCGATGGTTAGAGACCTTGAATGACATGGCTCAAAATCGTTCGCAATGGCGCCGGTGCATTTATTCTTTGTGTTCTCTCAAATCCTAATCTTCTGGATTCTTCAACACCTCTAGTTTTGACTTTCTAAACTTTTCTCATTAAATCATACTTCGTGAATAATATCTTCTAATCCTAACCTCTCCGATTACTCTTAATACATTCACTACCTCTTCTACTATTGGATTTGAATTGACAATTACATCTCTGTGCTGATGTGGTATGGCGACATGAACTGATGTACTTACGTACGAAGTTCTACGTTGCATCTGACTGACTGACTGAATCAGATTAAGTCTGCCCATGCTAGACATAGTTCATCTCGCTCCAGCTCTGTCCAAAAGTCCAAAACGAATTCCCCTCCTGCTTGCTGGCACTGCGGCTCATGGCACTATGTACGGAACTGCCCATTTGGTCACCATCGGTGCAGGAAGTGCAAGGTCATAGTTCATAAAGATGGTTTTTGCCTAAAGAGAAAGCCGAACAGATCCAAAAGTACCAAGAAGTCTGTTCCTAGATCCCGTACGAATATATCGAGACTAATATCTTCCTGCCAAAGCTCTCCACCAGGTGAGAGGAAAGTTATTACTCTAAATATTAACGGGCATTTGTGTAGATTGCAAATAGATACCGCATCTGATGTCACTATCCTCTCACGCAAAAATTGGACCAAATTGGGTAGCCCAAGCCTGCAGCACACAACACAAAAGCCTCGTACAGCATGTGGTAATTACCTTCGTCTGTTAGGACAATTGGAATGTAAAGTTGCTTTCCGAGACTCGTCATTCACTGGGGTATGTTATATAACGCCGGCTGATCTAAATTTACTTGGTTTAGATTGGTTCGACCAGCTAAAATTGGCTGATGTCCCGTTAAATACTATTTGCAACCTGGTATCACAACCACATGACCCTGAATCATATACGAAGAAGCTGATGACAGAGTTTTCAACCATTTTTGAACCTGGGTTGGACCGGTGCACTGCCGTGAAAGCAACACTTCGGTTGAAACCTGGGGCCAAGCCTGCTTTCCGTCCAAAGAGACCCGTACCTTATGCAACATTAGATGACGAGCTGGATCGCCTTCAACGACAAGGAGTTATTACTCCCGTTTCTTACTCTACTTGGGCAGCACTAATAGTCGATATGAAGAAGGCCAACGGCACGATACGTATATGTGCTGACTTCTCTACAGGTCTCAACGCAGCTCTAGAACAGCATCATTATCCTCTGCCAGTCCCAGCAGATCTGTTCACTATGCTGAATGGGGGAAAGTTCTTCGCAAAGCTCGACCTAGCTGATGCTTATTTGCAAGTGGAAGTCGATGAAGCATCTAAAGAGCTGCTTACTATCAATACCCATCGTGGTTTGTTCCAGAACAACCGTCTGCCTTATGGAGTTAAGACTGTCCCATCTATCTTCTAACAACTAATGGATACTATCCTATCAGATATCTCAGGGGTTGCAGCTTATCTCGATGATATCTTAATTGTTGCGAAGACGTTAGAACAGCTACGGGAACGCACGACACTGGTACTACAACGCATCAGTGACAACGGTTTCCGGTTACGCCCAGAAAAATGCCAGTTTCGATTGCAGTCGGTAAAGTATTTGGGATTCATCTTTGATGCCGTCGGTCACAGACCTGATCCTGAGAACATCCGAGCTATCAAACTGATGCCCAATCCCACTAATGTTTCAGAATTACGGTCTTTTCTCAGATTAATCAGTTATTATTCAGCTTTTGTTCCCTCGATGCATGATATTCGCGCTCCATTGAATTGTCTACTGCAGAAGCATAGCACATGGAACTGGACTAAAGAGTGTGACGCGGCCTTTGGTAAACTCACGTCCGTAATTGGCTCGAGATTGTTATTAACACACTACGACCCATCCATGCCGATCATCGTAGCAGCAGACGCTTCAGC